CATCAACAACTGCATATTACAGAGTCCATTTGTTGAGCCAATCCACGAACTCTGGACCGAAAGTGGGGTCGAATTGCCACTGCTTCACGATGCTCGCTGGAAGGAGCAAGCGATCCTTGTCCGCCCCCCCGATGATGAGCTTGTTGAGGCGCGGCTGCTGGGGGAATGGCTCGAGCAAGTCATCGCTGACCTTGGTGCTTGGCTGCGTGAAGCCTGGGATCTCCACCTTGCCTGCAAGCAATCCAGTCTCAATGGACTCCTGCACCGTGTGGAGCACCCAATCCATCTCCACCTGGTTGGCGCAACATCCAAAGAAGAAGAAGGGAGCATTGAATTGCTTCCTGTGCGAGACAAACGCTTCGAGGAAGTCCCCGGTACGAACATTCAAGTCCAGGATCAAGACTGCCTTGATGCCCTCCAGGTTGGCGCCGTCTGTCAAACTCTGCAGGAGGGCAACGCTGGCCTCCACACCCACCTGCTGAAACTTGGACGCTCCGTGGACATAGGAGCCCCGACCATCTGTGGATGGTGGCAACGAGTCTGCAGACAAGTCCTGTTGGATGCATTGGAGCAAAAAATTGCGGACGCTTCGCGAATCCCCACCAGCTCATCCAGAAACGATGCCCAGAGGAGTTGTCTGGATCAGGGAAGTGGGCAGCACACAGAGGAAGCCATTCTGAGACATCTTGGGATATCTTGAGCCATCTTGGAGGTCATCTTGGGTTCTCTCACGCGCTCTTGGAGTCATCTTAATCAGTGCTCCCCCCCAAGAGGCCAACATGTGGCTAAAACCTAAGTGCAATCAACGATTTGGCATTCTCGCCGAGGCCTCTTGGAGCATCTTTGGGGGGTCTCTTGGGGCCTCTTGGGGGTCTCTTGGGGGTCTCCTGGGGGCCTCTTGGGGGCCTCTTGGGGCCAACTTGGGGCTATCTTGGGACCTCTTGGGGCCTCCTGGGCGCTTCTTGGGGCCATCTTGGAGGAGATCGATCAAACAAGAGGGGAGCAGTAATCGGTGCCCCCCCCCCCAGGAGGTCAACATGGGGCCAACACCCTAGTAAAACCAATGATGTTGGCTTCCTCGCCGAGGCCGTTTTGGCATTCTCGCCCAGGCCTCTTGGAGCATCTTGGGTGCCTCTGGGGGGTCTCTTGGGGCCTCTTGGGGGTCTCTGGGGGGCCTCCTGGGGGCCTCTTGGGGGCCTCTTGGGGCCATCTTGGGGCCATCCTGGGACCTCCATCTTGGGACCTCCGTGGCGCTTCTTGGGGCCAGCTTGGAGAAGATCGATCAAACAAGAGGGGAGCAGTAATTATACTTAGCGCCCCCCCAGAAGGCCAAAATGGGGCCACCACCCTGGTAAAACCAATGAATTTGGCTTCCTCGCCGAGGCCGTTTTGGCATTCTCGCCGAGGTCTCTTGGAGCATCTTGGGTGCCTCTGGGGGGTCTCTTGGGGCCTCTTGGGGATCTCTTGGGGGCCCGGGGGCCTCTTGGGGCCATCTTGGGGCTATCTTGGGACCTCTCGGGGCCTCCCAGGCGCTTCTTGGGACAATATTGGAGGAGATCGATCAAACAAGAGGGGGGCGTCAATTAGCCCCCCCCCCAGGAGTCCAAAATGGGGCCACAACCCTAAAAACGTCAATGACTTTGGCTTCCTCGCCGAGGCCGTTTTGGACGCCCTGGCAACTCGCGACCCCCCCCCCCCCCTCCAGGTCCATGAGGAGGGGGTAGGGGGAGGGGTAAACCCCTCCCCGAAGGGGAAGAAGGAGGGGTGGAAGTCTCTAAACCACCTACGCCCAGAGGGCTGGCGGGATTTAAGATCCCGGGGACAATTCCAAGGCACCCTGAAACCTTCAAAAGAAAATCGAAGCCAGGCATATTCAGCCAGATGTGATTCGTGGGGGCACAAGGAGTCATCTGAATGAGTCTGTACGAAGTGTGTTGATCATGCATCTGCTCATCAGCGTAGCAGACTCCATGAAATCACAAGCCACAAGATGAATCCTGGAGACCTTACTGCAATTGGACTTGGCCTGAAGGGCTGAAGGGCCCACAAAGTTAAACATTCGAAATGCACTTAACCAAATCCTGATCTGTGTTAGCATCGTCCTTAGAACTGAGTCTGCAACGAGCAATATTATTTAAGAAGGCCCAAACCATCCTCCACCACCTTCATCTTCTTCCCCGGGAGCTGTTGCACCTCCTTGGTCCGACGATCCACCCTGAGAGAGCTGCTGAAGAATGGATTCTTCTGAAGGTCCGTCGCTGCTGCCGGGAAAGCCAAGCGACCTCCATACACCATTGGGCGCAAGTCGCGTGGGTCGCACTGGCTGCTGAACACCATCGAGAACGGAAAGTCCACGTTGTGCCCCCCAGACGCGAGAGACTGCAGCGCCTTGATTTCTTCTAAGTAGAGCTTGCCTCGCGCATAGGTGAAGACGGGCAGGATTACTGCTGTGCAGTTGGACGCATTCTCATGGAGGCTCCAGTTCACAACAGTAGCCTGCTTATCCTGGATGTCCTGGCTCAGGGCACACGGGGCAGCCCAGTTGAGCAACGACATCACTGGCACATCACCTGGGTTCACGCCCACCTTCTTCATAATCACCTCCCGCTTGAAGGCGATCACGTCTGCCACCACATCCTCCACCTTTTTTGACCACACAACCAGCTTCACACACGAGCCCAAGAAGGTCTGCGCAGCCTGTGCGCACTTGTTCTTCACCTCCAGCCTGAACTCCTGTGAAAAGCGAGCTACAGGGAGAGTAGCGGCCCGTAACATGCGAATGGGACTGCCCCAGCAAAATGAAAGAAGAGAGGAGGTCCAAAGGAACAAACTAGTCCAGGGAAGTCTGTGCAGCTTGCGCACACGTTTTCGCCACCTCAAACTTGAAACCCTCAAGCTTGGCATGAACAATCCTGGGTGCGAGGGGGCAGGGGTGGGGCGGGGGGGGTAGTCTTGATTTCTGGTGTTTCACGATGTTGTGTGTTAGAGTTACATGTCCATTTGATCTGATAAATGAAAGATTTCCTCCTCCCTTCTCTCCTGATTCTTGGCGTGGGTGGCTGCGGGAGTGGATGGGTGGGTTCTGAAGTCATTGGAATGAGTTGAAAACGTCAATCCTGATCTTCTTGGTGGCATCCTTTGGCTTGATGTTAGTGGGGTTATACTGTATCTAGGTATTGTCTCCTTCATGTGTGCAGAATGGAAACGCTGTTTTGTAACGAAGCTTCTCACAGTGGGTGCGTGTGTATATGTGTACTCCTTCCTATTATTCCTTCTTCATTCTTTCTTGTAGAGTCCTATTAGCATGTTACAGGGCAGGGGTTTCACGGAGGCGAGGGGTCCGTACATTTTGTGGCACCAACACAATCCAGGGTGCTTTACAAACCAGCAATCGTGAAGACAAGTAGGCCAAAACAACCCAGTCTCCTGCTCCCGATGGTACCGGGCGCACACTACACCAGAACATTTTTTCATCCAATTCTCGTAGCAAGTCGTGTCATACTCCAACTGCTTGATCAAGAGGTGGAATTGATCGGAGTCCAGTGCCTGCTGGGCGTCTGTGGCCAGGCTGACTGGGGTGGAGAAGACATGTTCATCAACCAACTTCTTGAGCGTCGGCATGTGCATGGCAACGTCGAAAGTATCGCTCTTGTCCATGAGGGCCGCCTGGAGCTCGAAGTCCACGTGCTCCGAGCCCATGCGCCACTGCTCGATGAAGGCGTCCTTGATCTTCTGCTCCGGGATTGGCACTTGGAGCTGTAGCTCGGCTGCCATGGCAAGACACGCAGACGCGCGTTCTGCCAAGGCTTCTGCGTTCGCAGGGGTCAACTTCCACCTGAGGTTGGGGTTGCTCATCTCATACGAATTCTGCGCACGCTCCACCATGAGCAAGAAGGATTCTTCGCTTGTCTTGACACGGGCAGTCCACTTTTTTGACTTGCTTGCAAACTGGTGGTTCGGGTAGTTTTTTTTTGAAGCGAGGACGTCTTCAGTCCACACACAGGAGCCCCAGCCCATCGATCCCACATGTTCGAGGATGCTCTCGAGGCCAGCACGGGGCGCCACTTCAAACAGAAGCTTGAGGGCGACAGCACGCTTGCCCACCAGCTGGTGCTGCTTGGTGGTCATGGCATTCCACCTGCCAGGGTCAAAAAAAACAATTGCCAAGTTCAGCTAACAACGTCCAAATAAACACAGACCAAGAGATCCAATGCTCTGAAGGGCCACTTGGACGCCACTACGGTGGCCCCAAATTGGGCCGGCAACCGTCTTCGACACAAACACTAGCCCATCCCAAATTGACATACACAATTATACAAGTACGGGGTTGGTGGCCCTTCGGGTTCCCTCTCGCTACCCAAAAGGCCATATGGGACTCTACTTTGATTAAGGAATCACACACGCACGCACATGTCTCACACATGACACACCCGCATGGCACACACAAAGCACAAAACAATTAGCCTGGCAAAGGACCCAGTCATCTGCAAGTGTGAGTACCGCAGGCAAGTGGGTGGGACGACGGAGGTGGGGACTCCCTATGGGGCCACGAAGCGTGAGGGGTGCGCTGAAATGTGTGGCGCAGACGCATGTGAACTGCACCACTGGGGCCTTCGGTGGAGCTCCCTATGGGGCCACGAAGCGCTGTACTGTGTGTGTGGGTGTGTGGGTGTGGGTGTGTGTGTGTGTGTGTGGTGGTGGTGGTGGTGGTGGTGGTGGTGGAGGTGGTGGTGGTGGTGGTGGTGGTGGTGGTGGTGGTGGTTGGTGGTGGTGATGGTGGTGGTGGTGGTTTCGGTGGTGGTGTGGAGGGAGGGGTGGGGTGGGGGGTTGGGGGGACGCATGCGAACTGCGCCGCTGGAATCTTTGGTGGAGCTCCCTACGGGGCCACGAAACGTTGAATTGTGTGGGGGAGACGCATGCGGACTGCACCATGGGCGGCCTAGGTGAAGCTCCCTATGGGGACACATGCGAACTGCGCCACTGGGGCCTTCGGTGAAGCTCCCTGTGGGGCCACGAAACGCTGTGCTGGGTTGGGGGAGACGCATGCAAACTGCGCCACCGGGGCCTTCGGTGGAGCTCCCTTTGGGCCAGGAAGTCTTGCACTGGAAGGGGGAGACGCATTCGAACCCCAGGCGCAGTTCGCATGTGTCTCCCCCTATCCAGCACAGCGTTTCGTTGCCCCGTAGGGAGCTCCACCGAAGGTCCCAGTGGGGCAATTCGCATGCGTCGCCCCCAACCCAGTACAGCGCCTCGTGGCCCCATCGGGAGTTCCACTGAAGGCCCCAGTGGCGCAGTTCGCATGCGTCTCCCGTACCTGGTACAGCGCTTCGTGGCCCCAGAAGGGAGCGCAGTTCGCATGTGCCTCCCCACCCACACACGCACATAATCACACCAGCCCTTTAGGGCGTAGGTGGTCTAGAGCGTTTCCTCTGTCACCCCCCTTCTTTCCCCACCCCTCCCCACCGACCTGGACGAGGGGTTCCGCAGGTCATTGTACATCCAAGATGGCCCAAGACGGCTCCAAGAGCGTAAAAACGAAAAAGCACAAAACATTGATTTTCCATAGGTTTTGGAAGGATTTTGGCCCCTTGGGGAGGCCCAAGATGCGATTCGAGGCACTCTAGAGGGGCAGGGCTAATATACGACCCCCCCTTCTTTGATAGATCTCCTCCAAGGTGGCCCCAAGAGCGTCCCGAAGGCTCCCAAAAGCGCCCCAAGAGGGCCCCAAGAGGCCCCAAGAGGCCCCCAAGATGCCTTCAAGAAGCTCCCAAGAGACCCCCAAGAGGCCCCAAGAGGCTCCCAAGATGGCCCAAGCCGGCTCTAAGAGCGAAAAAGCGAAAAAGCACAAAACATGGATTTTCCTTAGGTTTTGGAAGGATTTTGGCCTCAATAAATTCCCAAGAGGCGATTCGAGGCACCCTAGAGGGGCAGCGTTAATATACGACCCCCCCTTCTTTGATAGATCTCCTCCAAGATGGCCCCAAGAGCGCCCCGAAGGCTCCCCAGAGCGCCCCAAGAGCGCCCCAAGAGGACCCCAAGAGGCCCCAAGAGACCGCCAAGAGGCCTCCAAGAGGCTCCCAAGAGGCCCCCAAGAGGCCCTAAGAGGCTCCCAAGATGGCCCAAGACGGCTCCAAGGGCGAAAAAGCGAAAAAGCACAAAACATTGATTTTCCTAAGGTTTTGGAAGGATTTTGGCCTCAAGAAGGGCCTCAGAGGCGATTCGAGGCACTCTAGAGGGAAACGTTGTTGCGAAGCCTCGTGACAAGCACATGAGCAGTTGAGACAAGCTAGCGTGGCGCGCAATACCTCCGCACAGCTGTCTTCCAGCTGTCTGCTGGGATAACATCTATATTCTCTTTGGGAAAACCACAATCGTCGCAGACGGCAGCGGCGTGCCTGCCGACTTCTCCGGCCCACGTCTGCCTAGGACGACCTCTCTTCCTAGCGCCGGGCGGCTGTTTTAGCACGCACGGGGGAGAGGGGCGAGGGGAGGGGGAAGGGGAGGAGGGGGAGGGGGAGGGGGGCGGAGGGTCAAAAATAGCGTCTCGGAGAGGGTGCCCTCCCGCGCATCTTGCTATCTGTCCAAACAAACACAGTTGCCTCTGGAGTAAGACACTGCTCAGCTTCATCCGCCCCGCCAGCTGCAGCACGCTGGCGTTGGTCACCCTGCTCCAGTACGAGTGGCCAATGCCAAGAATGCGCCGGAGGCACCTCACGTGGAACGCGTCCACCTTGGCCAGCTCCTGCTTCTTCAGCCAGGTGGTGTGGAGGCTGTAAAGCAGCTTCGTCTGCACACACGCTTCGAAGATCATCAGCTTCCTCCGGGTCGACACCGCGGAACGGGACCACACCCGCCACAATGCTTCGAATTCTGCCTTCGCCTGGCCCAGCCGTCGATTGAGCTCCGGCCCGGCTGAACCGTCTGCCGAAAGCACGCTGCCCAAGTAGACCAGGTGCTCCTTGCGGGGGATGAGACCACCGTCGGGCTTAGAGATGTCCCCTTCACACCTCGCAGCCAACATCTCCAGCTTCTTTGATGGGGCAGCGCTAATATACGACCCCCCCTTCTTTGATAGATCTCCTCCAACATGGCCCCAAGAGCGCCCCGAAGGCTCCCAAGAGCGCCCCAAGAGCGCCCCAAGAGGGCCCCAAGCCCCAAGAGGCCCCCAAGAGGCCTCCAAGATGCCCCAAGAGACCCCCAAGAGGCCACAAGAGGCTACCCGATATACGCAAGAGGCCCCCAGGACGGCCAAGAGGCCCCAAAGACGGCCCAAGGGGCCCCCAAGCTCGCCATTGACCTCCTCCTCCTCCTCTTTATCTTCCTCCCTCCTCCCCCTCCCCCTCCCCCTCCTCCTCCTCATCCTCATCCTCCTCCTTGTCCTTTTCCTCCTTCTCGTCCTCCTCGTCCTCGCAGTCCTCCATCTCCTCCTCATCTTCCTCCTTCTCCTCCTCCTGCTCCTGCTCCTCGTCCTGCTCCTCCTCTTCTTCCTACTCCAACGACGACGGCTCCTCCTACATCCTTCCCCTCTTGGGGCATATGGCGGCTCACCCCGCCTGTTGTTCTTCTGCATGCTCTCCCGCTTCCCTGATAACCTCCACTCCCCTGGGACTCATTTCTGGACGGGCTGGTGGGGATACGCGAAGCGTCTAGAATTCATACATGATTAAAGCATACTCAAACCATAAGCAACACATGGTTGATCCATCGTGAGGGAAGAAGTTGTACATATGTCAGACGTAAGTAAGACATGCTTCACACATAATTAAAACACACGTAATACATACACATCACATAGATACGATATATTTAGTACATAATCAATACACACTCCAGGCATTCTCAATCCATAATGAAGACATCCCTAGGACACAGATACTACATAACTCCTACACACTTTGGGCATACCGAATACATAGTTAATACGCACGTAAGACATGATGCATACATACTTCAGACACAATCAAGACATACTCCAGACACACCTAAGACATACTTAAGGCATGGTTCACACATAACTCATGTATAATTTAGATAGGTGTAGGTAGTAGGTCAACATACACAAGGCACAACATGCAAACGATTTGTCATGTGTTGGGTCACATAGCTTATACAAAATAGCATTGCATGCCATACAGAGGTGATGTGAGCTGGTACCTCATGAGTGCAGCGCGTAGCTTACACCACGTTGCGCACACCGGATACGTTGGACCACATACATTGTATCATGTGGCATGCATCCTACATATTGCGCCACAAGTTTAGACTTCACGCTGAGCCACTTGACTTGCATGTTCATTCTCTTTCATTTAAGTATCATCAAAGCCTGAACTTTTGGATAACTATACACAGTGCGTGTCCCCCCATCCATGCTGTGGGGGGTGGCGTTTTCGTAGACCCCAGCCCCTCCAGCCTGCTAGAATTCTCGGCAGGACAAGAAATAAGTAAATACAAATTAGATGTCATTCTACATTCTGAAGCAATCCGAAGATTTCAGTGAGGCATGCTGGGGCCCTGGGTCCAGTCTCAGGGCGACCGTACAAATTCAAAACACCTTCCACAGCTTCTCGTCAAGATAGCAACGCTGGGTCTGGACATGTCGAATTGTCCCAGGGGGCGCCCTCTGAACCTCGCCCTCTGAATTTCAGTGACCCCTGGGCTTCGCATGTCACCAAAATAAATGCCCCATTAACACGATTTCACAGCTCCTACGTCTTGGCACCCCTATGGCACCTGCGCGCAAAGGACTGCAGGTCCCCGAAGCCCTGCTTGGAGAGGTTGTGAAGCATCACCACAGTCACCACTAGGTTGTTAGCTCGGCGAATGCTCCCCCTCGCACTGAGTTTCATATTGGCCAACGCCTCGTCTGCCTTCGTACTGTAGGTGACCTTCAGGGCGTAAATCCTGCACACGGACTGCCAGAGGAGCGGGTGCACCTCCTTCAAGTCAATATTCTTGGAGTAGCAGTAGTGCAGGAGGGCCAAGAGCGCGAGGCTGCGAGCCTGCCCCTTGATGTACCCCAGAGAATGCGGAGCATGGGCAGTCGGGGCCGGCAGTGGAGGCTCAGGGCGAACTTGGAGCTCTTCAGGCTGTGAAACCAGGAGGGGTTCTCCAGAAGTCACGAAGCCATCTTTCAGGTAGTTCTCCCACAGCTGCCGGGTGACATCCTTGCCCGGCGCAGGCTTCATGCTGCAAGCCTGGGTTGGGGGCAAATGGATTTGCGCGTTAACTCTCAAAGGGGGGTAGTAGGTTTGGCCAACAGCGTAGGGCCCATGATCATGGCCAAAAACAGCACCTAAGACTCACATCTCTGTCGTTCAAAACCCTTGAGACACATCAGGACGCTTCATTTTTTTGCCCCACGGCCGATTTCCCTAGTTCCTAGGAGGGCACAACCCCCATAGAGCCACCCAACAGCCCTTCCAAGCTCCGACATAGCCAAACTTAGGCCCTCAGAACGGCCACATGTGTGGCCAAACGGTCGCCGAAAACACAGACCCGCAGAGGTCCCCCTGTGGGTGCGCAGATTTGGCGGTCCTGGAGCGCCAGAGATGGCCAAATCGAGTCCCAAAAAGGCCCCAAGGCGTCCCCTCCAGATGGGGGGTTACTTACCTCGCAAAACGTGTTTTTGAAAACACAGAGTGCCTGGTGGAAGCCGAGCGAGGACACGTGGATGCAGAAGGCCACCTCCCCGCCCAAGTCAGACTCAGACACACCAGGCAAGGTCACATCATGGTTGTACAAGGTGTCATCGGACTCCGGGAACATGTCGCGAAGCCAATGGGTGAATGCCGCCTGGTCTTCCTTCGCAGGCATGGACTTCATCAGGTAGGCCTGCGGGTTGCCATACTGCTTGAAGATGTCTTGGAGGTCTGCCGACGTCTTGTCAATGAAATTGCACAGCACCTCCAGGCCCTGTGGGACCATTGGTTCTGCCCATCCTGCGACTGTGGAGGCGTGGTCATCCAGATCTTGATCTGCTTGATCTGGCATACCATCTGGTAGTTGAAAGGACATGGCTCGCACTCTTGCAAACCTTGGACAAATCACACGGACTCGATACCTCAATAATGGCTCACCGAAATCCCAAGGACAATGGATACATGCACTGGAAATGGATGGCTTACACCACGAGCATGCCATGAATTGCGCAAGCACTTATCACATGAACTCATGTAACTGGGGCTCTACGGATTGCGCTCAACAGCTCAACTGGGGGACCCGGGATTTCCAAAGGACCCAACAAGTGACATGAAGTCCAATCTTAGGATCTTTGCCAGCACAGCTGGCAGCAATGCACAGGCTCAACGACAGAAAGAGCAAGCACTGTTTGAAGGAATCAGCGACAGACCCTAAGTCACCCCAACTAGTTAACCCAAGAGGGCATTGCTATCTACAACTTTCTGGGGGTCTAGATGTCCAGATTTTCTGTGACCACCAGATCTTCGAAATTGGTGTAGGAAGTAAAGGGGAGGGGCAAACTGCAAGTTACTTCTGGCTGACACCAAGAGAAGCACATCTCAGGACACGCAGCTAAGTTTGGCACCGCGGGTCTACTGATAATGAGCAGAGCTGACAGAAGGCTGATTCTGTGACCCCGAACTTTGTGAACGGTTCAGCCACTCCTCTGCCTCCCTGGCCCTCCTAGCCCTACGTCTGGACTCGCGCTCATTATGCCTGTCCTTCAGTTTACGCAGCTGCATGCCTGCATCATCTCCAGGGGTCGGGATGAATTTGCAAGGCTTCGATGCTGTATTGACGCTGGGGGGTGGAGGAAAACCCGGAGGCTGTGGGCCAACGCTTGCAGTTGGAGGAACATTCGAAGGCGGTGGGCCGCAGCTCTTCTTTGGAGGCGCCCCAGGCCCAGGACCTACAAATCCTGGTGGAGGGAAAGGCGGGGGCCTAGGTACCTTCAGCGCTGCATATTTCTGACTCTTCGCATTTTTCTCCATGATAGCATTCAGCCGCATCGCAGATGCAAGTGTGTCCTCGACCTCCATGGCTGCAATTTCAGCTATTATCCTCGTCTCCTCGAAGTGATTCCACAAACGGGGATCCCTGGACTTCACAGCAGGCTGCGACTCCAGTGTCTCGAACTCCCTTGTCAAGTAGATCTTCATGGGCCTGGCTTTGGCGAGCGGGATGAGGACAGTCTCTGCCTCGGTAACTTCGGGATCAGCCTTGCAGCCAGCCTTGGACTGATCGCCCTGGGCATCTGCACCAGTCTGACCATAAGCATGCCACTCGCCGTTGATCTCTGCAGTGTTCTTGGAAACAGACCAGGCAGCACCCAGGCCACTCGAAGAAGCAGCCATCTTTCCATTGCCATAGTCAACCATGTTTGCTCCCCAACATGATTCTGAACCTGACCACTGCCAGCTGCTATCCCAGCCAAACCAATTGTCTGCATATCCAGACCGCCACCATGCGGTGTCAGAGGACCACATTATGACATCTTGTCAGGGACACAAGACTTTGAGCCAGAGTGGCGACACAGAAACACAAAGTTCAAACGCGTGGGGCTTGCATGGGATCCAGCACAAGTCGATGTCCTGAAAATCATAGCCGACATCCGCCGGTTTCCCAGGAATCCCGCGCAAGTCCTGTATGATCCAAGGATCCAGCACAAGTCAATGGTCTGGGGAGGGGGGGTGGACTTCCGCCGAGGGTGGCGCCCTACTGTAGAGATCCGCGGGATTCCCAGGAAGCCCGCGCATCTTGGCATGAGGAAAACAAGATCTGAGATCTGCCGCGAGGCCTGATTTGGGGATCGAGCAAATAATTTGCCCAGGTTGCTTGGATGGGCGGAGATGTGCCGGTTTCCCAGGAAACCAGCACAGCTAGCAATCTTGCCGACTTATGTGTTGGAGTGGTGCAACGTTTGAGGGGAAAGGTGGCCCAAAAGAGGTAGCATCATACATTTAATTTGGAAGGGTTGCTAGGCAAGTCGCTGTCTGTGCCGGTTTCACAGGAAACCAGCACAGTGTAGCAACCCTACCTAATAAATTTTTGCATGGTGATGAAAATCCAGCACAGCTAGCAACCCTACCGAATTAATTTTCGGTGTGGTGGTCTGAGACAGCTGAAAATCCAGCACAGCTAGCAACCCTGCCAAAATAAATTTCTCCGGTGGCCTCAGGTTGGGGCGCAAAAGTACTATCATTGATGTCCAAAGCTGCTCCAAGAGGTGGCCCTCCCCAATCGGCGAGCAAGACAGTTCCGAACAATATGCTATCACCAAGTGGCCCTTTTCTTCTTCCAGTGGCTGAGCTTGGCCATTCAATATGGGCAGAAGGCGCGATGGACTTCGCATCCACGCTTTTTTTTCACACGCCCTAGGAACACTATCTCTTGAAGAATCCTACGCTTGAATGGGCGCCAGCGCTGCTGGCGCCAACTCCATAGAGTAGCTGTGAGCTTCGCCCCCATGCACCAAGCACTCCATTCTTGCCAAGAGAGAGTTCTATGATTTCATGTCTGGCCATTTCGTTTGAACCTGAACCTGAAGATTTGCAAGACTGAGGCTGCTGGTGCAGGCTGCTGGGCCCCAATGGGCCCCGGAAACTTACAAAACTGGCCACATCACGCAACATAACAATGAGTTGGCATCAAAGCTTCTGCACAATGCGCATGTCATGAGTCTTAAAGAAGTTGCGATGGCCCGTTGCTGCCCAAGCGCGGCACTGCTTGCAGCCGCGAGGGAGCTCGTAGCGGCACTTACTGCAGCCATAACGGAAGCCTGCCGGGAGCTCCAAGGGAAAGGGATTGGGCACTCCATCAGGTAACCCAGGAGCCTCAGGACCCTCTGGGGCAGGCGCAGGGCCAGGGGCAGCAGCCTCTGGGGCCACAGCAGGGCCAGGGGCAGCAGCCTCTGGGGCCACAACACCATCCGCAGGAGCATCCACATTGGGCCTCTTGGCTGGCCTGCGAAGCACTGCGCCTGCTGGGCGCTTCATTGGTGCTGCAGCAGCAGGCGATGCCTTCGCGCCCACTGTAATCTCGCGCACGACCACACCAGCGGACCCATCCAGGATCAGGTTCGAGACTAATTGGTCAGCAGCGCCTGAAGAGGGCATCACATAGTCGAAAATGAAAGAGAGTTCAGGTGGCTCTGGAAGCCGGCATGCCTCACTGTCATCACACAACTTGGTCAGGTAGGACGTTGCCACCAGGAGGTTCCAAGGGTCCTTCTGCACCAGTGAAGCAGTCTTGCGGTATTATTTGATGACTGTCTCTCCCAATGGGTTCAGCTTGCACGGCTTCAGATCGTCCTGCAATGGAAAAGGCGTAAGAGGTGGAAACGCAATGGTGGAGAGCATAAGGGTCGAGGGGGCCAGGGGGGTGGGGGGCGAGAGGGGGCGACAGCCCCCTTCCTCACAGAAGAGCCACCTGTGTAAACATCGCCTCGAGACCAAATCGAATGAAGGAATCGAGACCTGGGCTTGAGCCCAGAGCTATGACGCGAAAGCGCAGGGCAGCTTTGAAATAAAGCCCAGCGGCGCAGGATTTTTCCAAAGCCCCAGGACTGGACTGACAAAACTCAAAGTGGATGCAAATTTCGTCTAGGGCACCCTGACTGGGCGCAAGCTTGAAAGCACCCCCCCCAATCCTTCGAGAGCTTGAGAATCTGGGTCGCTGGGAGCATGAGGACTGGGTTCTGACTGTAATTCGGGCTGTGCATGTAAGTCTTGGTCAGCAAGATAACGTCGGAGCTCTCAGGGGGGAGGTTCTGCCAGTCTGGGTGCTGCACCTCAATTGCGCTCTCCTGGAAGCCAGCCTGGGTGAGAAGCGTTCTGTCCACAAGTCTCCACACATGTGCAGCATCCTCCTTTGACGTGCTCGCAACCTGTAATCTGAATATCCAAAGGGGCCAGGAAGTCCTTGAAGTTCCAGGTGCCGTCCAGAAGCTCTGAATACACATCTCGCCCCCCAGCATGAGGCATGTTGGACTTGATGAAGTCGACGAACTCCTGTGGGGACTCCAGGGTCGGCGCTGAACTCAACCGCGTTGCCATGGTGCTGAAGCGCTGATCCTGGGGCTTGGCGCAAATTCTACACAACTGAACTAAAACCTCTGAGTTTTGACTCGCGAATCATTTCGCCGGGTGCATTTTGAAGTTGGATCCACGCACCAGGCATCAGCGCTATTAAACCAAGCCACAAATTCATGAGGATAGGCATTGGGAGG